CGATCCCTGATAGCGCTTCTGTACCACGGGACGTCGTAGTCGTCGTATCCTCTCGTAACTGGCATATCTCGTGCTTCTCGTTGTTCGTAACTCCTTCTGTGCTGGCTGGTCACGAAATCGGCTCTTGGAGCATGGTAACCTCTTGCGTTTGCTAATTCTTCGCCGTCTGCCGTTTGGTGCATCGTCTGGTCCAGGCTACTTCTATGAGGAAACTCTATAGACAATGGTTGAGTGGACCAATTTTCTGCGGAGCTAAGACGTACTTCTCGGACATTCTTAGTGCTCGATATTTGTTCCAGCTTCGTCTCGTTCTCTGTATCGCGACGAACCCTCGATACGGTCCCCGTTGCTTCATCCGCAGTAGCCTTTGTCGAATTTTCGTCTTCTTCTGGACGAAGGACAGTCATCGCTAGGCCCGTTTTAAATATATTGTCCCGGTGCTCTGCGTTATTCGTTTCGCCACGATTTTCATATCGGTCGTGGGGCTCTTCGAACGTGGGTTCGAATCGATCGAGGTATTTGTGGTTGAACACAGAGTGCGGTTTGGATATTGCAACAGTATTGGATTCGATGAATTTCGATTGGTCGGTTTTTAGATTGCTTTGAGCGGTTTCGAAAGGATTGAGATGACCGACTCCGCTCACGCTGCGAATTTCAAACGCGGAAGAGTCGAGCCGCGGCCACGATGGGTGATTCCAGGAATCGGTCGCGTATGGCAGGACCTGCCATGCTTTGCCGATCCCCGCCGCGCCGATTTCCGTCAACAGGCACAGTAGCGGAGATATTTGGAACAGAAGCAGCCGCATATTCGTCTATCTGAAATTAAAGAGATGATTTCATGTAGAAGATACAAATTCGTTTCCTGATATCGAAATGCCGAACAAGAGGAAAATGAGACATACAAGTGACAAAGTCAATGATCAATAGGAAGATAAGATAAATAATTGTAGATCGCAGGGAAAATTTTGAAAAATAATATGTGTTCTAATAATAGAAGATAAATGATAAAAAAGAGAATGTAATCCCCATTCTTCTATGTATTTTAATTTATGAAACGTAACTTCTGAATGACTTGTAATAGCTTTAAATACATTCGCTGGAACTAGCCAAGCATAGAAAAAGGAGGCTTAAAAGAGAATAAAAGGGAGTAGATGAAATCGCGAATTATCAGTCTAAATGAACCGTGAATGTCAACCTAAGCTTTCACCAAAACCCTAGTGAAACCATGAAGGCACCATGACAGACGTTTAATGACCGTTCCGTCCGGTAAATCTGCGCGTTCAGATGAAATCGTGTCCCCGACCGCGTCGTCGATTCCCCATAACAAATATAATTTCCCAGCCGTTTCCGCGGCATTATGCGCCGAGTTCCGGACTACGCGTAGATCCGGTAGCGCGATTGTTCACTCGACTACATTTACCATAGCATCCTCCCGCGAAATCGAACTAGAATTCGACTCGACACACGTACGCGCGCAACCACAGAGTTCAACGTACCAGTGCCGTCAGACGATTCGTATCTACCGTCAAAATTTTTCATTGCGATAATGTTTAATAACGTTGCAACGATCGCTAATTTTCAATATACATATATGATCGTAATAAAAAAATCTCTACTCTTCTTAGGCTGTTATTTGTATAACATTATACGGAAATGTATGTTTTACGTGATTCAGCTTCTCTCGACGCGTGGATCCATTGGGAAAACTGCTATATTTATGGTAACTTAATCGTTACAATAACATGAGAACACGTAAAACCGACTCAAAGTCGAAAAAACATGCTGATGTATATGCTTGATACAACTCCAGTGTATTATATACGTTTCAGGCATCACCGCCCATTACTGCACCATCAACATCAATCATGTTCTACACCACGATCATTCATCTGCAAAAAACGATAATTAAAAGAGAAAGAGAAAGAAGAATTGCTGCACAAACTTCGACAACCATGAGACTTCCGTATACAGATACAACAATGAGATCACCGTGAAATTGTCTTATCTTGTTCTTTTAATCGCGAAAAATCTGTCCGTAAGTTCGTGGACCGTGTCGAACAGAACGCTATATACGAGGCAGGACGGGTTTTTGTCCGACTGTTGCACGGTTAAGAGCACGACGAGCAACACTGTTCGTGGCGATAAAACGAAGGTAAAAAAATGCAACGAGGAAACAAAGGATAGAACGTCTAGACATAGCGGAACAAATCTTCGGCAGGAAGATCTTCTCCGTTAACATCTACTCCGCACAGTTACGCTCGCTCTTTTACAGTTAGCCTCGCGGACCTGTCTTAATTTGTAACTACGTTTCGGGACATCCTCGACACGTTCTCCAACGCGTAGGTTTCATACGACAAATTCAATGTCATAGTGGTTTAAGTCGTAATTCCATATGTTTGAATTCATTTTTACTCTCAAACATATCGTCCCTTTGGTTTCAGAACTGATTAGGTCGTAACTTTATTCTCTGCCATTTCTGTTTTCACGGTTTGAACAGATGTAATCTATTTTTTACGGTAATAAACGCAGAGAATTATTTTATGAAAACTGGCAATGGCCTAACTTACACCACTATGATTCTCAACCCTGTTTTCCAAATTACGTTATATAATATTTTATGAAATGTTGGTGCCGTACAGGATGAAACGATCTCGGGCGAATCAAACGTCTTATTTTCCCTTACGCCATTCAAATTACAAAAATATGCAAACTTTTTAACATTCAACTCCGCTGTCTCATTAACTCGATTCCGTCAACTGTACGCATACCGGTGAACAGTAGATAATTGTCGGTTTCACGATGGGATTCCGAAGAGGAAATTGGATAACGGATAGGTGAGGAGCTCTGAAGTAGGATAAGAACGTAATTGTAACTCGACTTTTGATGATTTATTGCTTAGCTAGCGGGATCGAGAGCGTGACTGGTGATGTAGGATACTGAGGAAAGTTAATTAAACTTAGCTTCGTTACGTAGGGTAAATAAGACGTTTGATTGCGGTAGAAATTGTCACATATTTGATAAATGTTAGATTTATATATATAAGAAAAATTTATAAAAGATATGTAAGAGTATAAGACTATTTCTAAGAAAGATAAATTATGGATTTTTGATCAAATGTTTGAATTAATTTTGTTATAGCATTCCCTATTTTAACCATTTAGACGTTAACTATCGAGAAACCAGTCCAGTGTATCGTATATCTCATCATTTGCATAAAAACAAAATCTGCACGTTAAGGCTGTACAATTAATTGAAATTAAAAGGACACACTGTAACTCTGGCACAACTGTCCTTGTTTCCGCAACTAATTACCATTTGTCCCATTTCATTAAAAGTTTTTAATAGCCGGTAAGTAAATTGATGAAATTTCCTCGGTTCAATTTATGAACGATGAAAATCAAAATTGCTTAAAAGTACCAGTCCCCGATATCTCCAAAAATATGCAATTTCTAACCGTATAATAATCTATAAGCAGAGAAATTTCAATGAAAATTTAAGACAAAAAACAAGTAAATTTACCTGGATTCCAGAGCGTGGCGAGCTTTCGAATGTCGTTGACTGTTCAGAGTTACCACGCTTACTACGGTCCGTGAACTACGGCTTCCCGGTTTACCCCGGCTTCGTATCTGCATACCGTGTGCTGTTGTCGCCGCTAAAACACGCTCACCCCTCTACTCGCAGACTTAACTACCGTTCTCAATTGGTCGCTGTTTTTAACTGTAGTTCTTGTTCCGAAAGATAGGTAAATGACTTCCTCTACAATCTACGAGCCAACACAATCGAAGATGATCGTTTAACGTAGCTTATAGGAACAGGCAGGCTACGTGCACATTCACGCTCCTATCGTCTGTAGAACGCTAAAAGGTAGAATTCTGAAAACTGTAGAACAAACGAGCGATAGTATTGCTAAAAAGACAAGTTAAGAGTACATAAATATGTAGTAAGAGGAAAGAAAAGATCTTCAACTGACAAACAAGTGATTATGTCTATCATCATTTCGTCAATGCGGTTAAGGATAGTTATATACATTTATACATTACATTCTATGAGTTACAGTTGCATGAAACAAAGGAGAAAGTGATGGGAGCAACTTATCTGCTCATTTATCCTCTGCATGTTCGGAGATACGCATTAACATTATCATAATCGCTCAGTTGAACTATACTCGTATTAGTATGTTTTATCTTCTTCGTTAGTACATAAGAAGTACTTCAATATCGAAATAACCTGTGAAATCTAAGCGATATATATATACTTTCAATGTGATTATCAATAGTTTAGTTTATTTAATTCAACATATGTATATTTTCATGAAAACAAAAGTACGCCAAATTTTAACGAGCAATAGCCTTCGTTTTACATCTCTATACGATAATTTGCAGGATGCAAAAAAAAGCGGAATAGAGAGTCTGATCTGAAAATAGAATGATCTTGAATAAATTGTAAAGGACATAATAGCGCTGTCATGCGCTATGGTGCATAAACTAGGGTAGAATTAAAAGCGTAGTAGAATGTAAATTGTTAACAAATAAAAATTAATCTAGGTATTATTAAAGAAATTTGTTTCACCTTCTAAACTTTTTGATGATTGGTTTACTTTGAGTATTTTGTATATTTTTGCATATCATGAGCATTCTGTACATTTCTATACATTTAAATTCTCTATGAATACAAAATGATCCGCACTCTACTTCATAGTATACTCTATACGTTTAAAATGCTCTATTAGAAGCTTAAACCTATCAAAATACAGCTCCTGGGGAAATATGAACTTTCACACATGAACACATAATATCGATTTTCCGATTCAAACGTATAGGCAGGTATATACTAGCATGTGTCACCTTCGGCATTTGGATGCATGGTGCAGCGCTACTCCGATAACAAAGAGAACCATAAGAGGTAATACTCTCAGTTTCTCTCTAAGATATCCTAGCCGCTGTCGGCACTTGGCCGCATGGTGCAGCACTATCTCGATAACATAGAGAACCATAGGCGTCAGTTCTTGTTATTTCCTCTCTGATATATGTTTACTTTAATATCGCTTATTCAGTCGCTTGATATATCGTCGGAATAAAATTTTAGTAATGTGAAAGTAATTGTGAGTAGATTAATAAAGTATAGTAGGATATTAGATTCATGTACATAGTTTCAAGTGATATCAATCTTTATGTCTAATATATACATGTGTATTGATCTATAAGTCAGTGTTAAAATAACAAACAAATGGCAGAAGAGGGAAAGAAGATTTCTTTCGGTTTTGCGAAATCTATTAGGAAACCTGTGTTAAAAAATGTTATTCCACAAAAAGAAAAGAAAGTTGATTACATTGAATGTCTTGATGAAAAAGGTATTAAAGTAATAGGGTGAGTTCGAAAAGTAAAATTTATAATCGAGAAACATATAACCTCAACCTAACCTATAAAAATCACCAATAACGGAATACATATATTTGAAAACAATCTTTTATTTCAGTGAGGAAGAAAAAAAAGATGAACCTCTAATTATTCCATTGCTAGGTTCAAAAACCTGGCACGATAGAATTGTTAATAAAATAGATGCAGATATTTTCCTTCCAAAGGCAGATAAGGAAAAGGTAGAAGACACTAGTGTTAACGAGTCAAAGCTATCTAATGGAAAAACATCGCCAATAATATCAATAAAGAAAGAGCCAGTTGAAGATAGTGAAAATAAAGTTGTTACTTTAGAAGAGCAAGCGGCTAAAGAAATCATTGAGGAACTTAAGTCAAAGAATGAACATGAAACTAAAACAAATGATTTAACTTTACCTTTAGTAGAAGATGAATCATTAAGAGGCAAAGAACAGGTACGTTATCAACATATAGATCTGCAAAGCACAGATGTATTACATTTGCATATTATAAATATTGTTTTGTATTTTTCAGTCTACGTTAGAAGATTATGAAAAGATTCCTATTGATGCTTTTGGTGTAGCAATGTTACGGGGAATGGGATGGCAACCAGGAAAGGGAATTGGTAGAAATGAAAAGTATGAATTTTACTCTAGATTAAATTAATTATATGTGTTTAATACATCACTTATTGGAAAGTAAACAGAGAACATCATTTTTTATTTCACAATTTTTTATACTAACTATTACAGATTAGTAGCAGCTGTCATACCAGAATTACGACCAAAAGGTATGGGTCTTGGCGCAGACAAAGTAGCATTGCAGAAGAAAAATACAGATTCCAAAAAAGAAGAGGAAGAACTTAAAATCGAGAAAGGAACATTTGTGAAAATTATAGCTGGAAAACAAAGTAATAATTATGGTCAAATAGAAGGATTCGATGATGATGCAGGAAGGCTCATAATAAAACTAGCTCTTGGTGGAAATATAATATCTGTAAATGAATTTATGGTACAGCCAGTGACTAAATCAGAATATTCAAAGAACTCAAAAGTTCTAAGTTAGTATGAAGAGTTAGTTTTTCATTAAGGGACTTTTAAGAAAATAAATTTGAATTGACATAGACATATAAAGACATAATCAGACACGTAGAAAAACTAATTTAAGAGTACCTGTAAGTGTGTTGTTGTAAGCAATTTTTTAAAGGTCCCTTATATTTTTATATGAAATATGATAAATGTAGAGGTTTTAGCTTTTAGTATTTTATGGGGTTAATTTCAGATACAAAAAAGTATGAGGAATATAAGGACAAGGAATCCAAGGGACTCAAGCAAAAGACGGATAGAAAAAGATCAATGTCCCCTAAACCCGAAGACAGTGAAGATGGTGACAAGAGTAGTAATAAACGAAAGAAAATCAGAAGTACGATGCATAATAAGGACAAGTATGATAAAATGGGGGATAAAAAATCAGAAAAACGAAAAAGGCGCTCCGAATCTAATGACGACAGCGATAGTGATTCTGAAAAGAAGAGACGGAGAGAAAGAAGTAATTCTAATAGTAATGATTCTTATAAATCAAAAAGATTGAAGAAGTCAAAGAAACATAAAAAACACGATTGCTCATCTGAAAGATCAAGTAAAAAACATAAAAAGAAAGACAAAGAAAGAGAAAAAGTTAGAGATAAGAAATCTAGAGATTATGCAGACAGAAAGAAACACAAAAGACGAGAAAGATCAAGATCTCGATCATTTAGTAGGCAGTAATATTTTCCAGGAACGTATTCGGTCATTTTACTTTCAAGATAAATTGTACAATTTTATTTATACACATTTTATAATAAAATGTATTTTTACAAAAGTATATTTCTTTTCTTACCCTTAACTGGAAATTACATTTGATTATAATATGTAATAATGTTTACAATTACATCAAAATTAATGTCCTAAACTTTACCAAGAATTATTAAAAATCCCTGCGTATTGCTTACGTAATGTTGATATTGAGTAGTACCATACATAACCTCAACATTATGATACTTGCAAACATCGCTAAACAAGTAGTGCGAACGATGTCGAGTAAGTATTCATTATGTAAAAAGTATTTATAGATAAAAAGTATGGGAAATATATAATGTATTTAACTTTTCCAACATTTTAGCACTTCGCTTGGCGTTGGTACAACTTGAAGTAAATGAAGTAAAACGCAAAAATATAGAGCGGGCAGTTTCGTACATTTCTAGCGCGAAAGAGCAGAATGCTGATATTATAGCTCTTCCTGAATGCTTTAATTCACCATATGGAATACGTAATAATTTGTTTTTTTTTCAATAATTTGCTATGTGTGTAACAACTATATAGAAAAAAGTAAAAGTAGACAAATTATCTTACCGTTTATACTTCCATAAGGATTGTGAATTGAGTCGAGAATATAGGATTTCCCCATTTTCATGATTATCGTGATTTTTGTATAAATATATTTTTTAAGATACTAATAATTAGGTACTTATAAATTAGTATTATCAATTATTTTGCATTTATAATTCCGCCTCTAGTATAACTGTTAATTGAAAACTAACTTTATGTTTCAAAAAGTACTAGCAAAGTCGTTGAGTAACAAGCCATTGATGCTAAAACAAATAACATTGTCGTAATTAAATATTTCTAAATATTCATTTTTCATTTTGAACCTGTAGAAACAATTTATTATATATACTATTAACTAAGTAATTGCATATTTATGTAAGTCGAAATATAAAACTTAGTTATTTTAATAATTTAAAAAATAAAAAACTGACAAAAATTTCAATTTAATTTATGGTTGGAACAAAAGACAGTTATTTTTCATTAATTGAAATATTGCAATGCAGAATACTTTCCAAAATACGCCGAAAGTATTCCTGGTGGTGAAACGAGCGTCGCTTTATCGAACGCAGCTAAAGAAAATAACATTTATGTAGTTGGTGGTACGATTCCTGAAATAGAGGGCGATAAATTGTACAATACTTGTACTATTTGGGACCCCGATGGAACTCTGATAGCGAAGCACCAGAAGGTAAGTAATATATTGCTTTATGGCTTTGAATTTGAAAATATTGGAGTGAAGAAAGTGATCTATCTAGGAATAATTTAGGAATATACATATGTACATACGTATACTATAACCAATCCTATAATTTACGGTTTATAAAGTACGTTATGATACGGGTGACATACTTTTGCTGTAATGTGTAATATAAATTTTTCACATACGAAAATACTTATTTTTTCTCCTTTTTAAACATTATTAAACGATAAGATTTTTTAATAAAAGAAAGTGATAAAAAACGCTGTCAGTTATTAAATAAAAAATAATTAAAGTTTAGGAGTTCGTAACTTTGATATTAAATTGCAAAAGTTGCAGCAATAAAATTAGCGACTACATTTTTATGTTATTAGGTACATCTATTCGACATCGACATTCCTAATAAGATTACTTTTCGAGAGAGTGATTCGCTCAGTCCTGGTAACTCCCTAACGACGTTCGATGTGAAGGGCTGCAAAATAGGTATTGGCATTTGCTATGATATTAGATTCGAGGAAATGGCACGCATTTATCGGAACAAAGGTACAGTAACTTAATCGATCAATACTTAACTAGCAAAAAATTAAATATCTTTCTTAAATATATTCTATATAAAATTAATATAATCTGTAACTCTGTATAAAAAGAAGCTTAATTTAAAAAACCAGTATATTTGCTGAAAATGAAACAAATAAAAGAATTAAAAGCACGATAATAGTCCTCGCATGCACTGTCCTCGCATGCACTGTCCTCGCATGCACTGTCCTCTCATATTCAGAAATGATGGAACGTGAACTGTGCAAATACGAAGTTAATTGGTATTCGGTGGCTTCATATTTCCTGCTTCTCTGGGTTAGGTTGCCAAATGCTGATATATCCAGCGGCATTCAATATGACCACTGGACCACTGCACTGGTCATTACTCCAGCGTTCCAGAGCGAATGATAATCAATTGTACGTTGCCTGCATATCTCCGGCTCGTGTTCCTTCGGCAAGTTACGTCACATGGGGACATACACAGTTGACCAATCCCTGGGGCAAGATTCTTTACGATTTGGAAACTCAAGAGAATATGGTAGTCGCCGATATCGGTAATTTACAGCTTAAAATTAAAAGCGAGAGATCCATCATGTAATTAATTTTTAGTCTCGTTAATTTATCGATTTAGCCATCTTCCTCTGTATTTGTTGAATTTATTAGTAAGCATTACTTATTACTTCGTATGTTTCTTTTTTTATTTAGATCTAAAAGTTGTCGAGGAAGTAAGGGCTCAGATACCTACATTTTCTCAGAGACGTACAGATTTGTACGACACTGTTTGTAAAAAGGAGTAACTCTACACTAAAACAGAAAATGTTTTTTTATATTATTTCTATTACAATATCCTTTTTTTGTGGATTATTACTAATTTCTTATCATTTGTACTAAATGAATCACTCAATTAAGAAAACCAAAACGTTATAAATAATAATCTGTATATCTTATGTATCAACATGTAATTGGATATTATAATAATATAGGAATGCTATAATAATATAGGATAATAATATAGGAGAATAATAATATAGACAAAAAATACACACACATTTGGACATATTTAATATCGATCACATAAATTGTTATAATCCACAATGATTACACATACATAAAAGACCCCTTGATAGTAAAATTTACGATCAAAAGGCAATTACGTATCGTTTAACAACATTTAATTTATAACACGTTTTAAACATTTAGACAGATAACACATAACACTTCTTATATATAAACATCAATTCGAAGTTGTCAGTTAGTGAAATTGGTCGATTAATACCCGTAGATTACCTATCTCGATGAAAGACTTAAAGAGAGCAAGAACATGATAATGTCGCTAATATAATATTCCTTCTTTCTTGTATCTGTCTGCCTCTTAGGTCGTTTTACTAATTACAATAAGTAATTTCGACTTCTTTGCATTCTTTTTAACGCATTCGAGACCGAAAGAAATTCATATTAGTCAGTAGGCAAGGGTATAATATACATATTTTATATATAACTTATGTAGTAATGTATATATCATGTTACTTGCATATCTTTTTCAATATAGAATTATTATATATATATAACTAACATGTACGTAATACATTATAGTATAACATAGTATATAATTATATATTTAAAAAATATGAGGCATACTATTTAAGATTGTATCGATTTAAAATCAAAGTATGAAAAGGAAGGAGCACGAGTAGAGTAAAATACAGAATCATTCTAACTAAACATTCAGATCGTACCGACACCTAGGTATCGTCTTACAATTAAATCTCGGTCTCGAATGGATTAAAATGAAATACATACTTGCAGCTTTAACATCTTCAATATCGAGGAGATTCAAACTTTACAAATAAAAGCGGGCTGCTCCCCTTTCCACGATAGACTCTCATACCATTTCCGCTCTTATCCAGGCTTTTACTTGAAACCACTAATGCGTTCATTTACAATTTAAATTTACCCGGATCATCCACTGAATCGTCAGCCCTTTATAAATATATAATGAACCCAGAACATGTGCCTGAGCCCCTGGTATCGACGCTTGTAATGTTCGTACCGGGACTTCCGCACAATTTCAATTTGTCACGCGTGAACATAGATTCTTCCAAGGGTCACAGCTTTATGGTCACATGCGACTAAATCCTTTAAAACGATTAAAATGATACTAATGATATGGTATTTTTTACAAAGATTTAATATATCTATAAAATAGAAAGTTTCGTGCTCTCCTATTTTATATTAATTATAAATTATAAATAAGTTTTATATGTGCTATTTATAGATCTAATAATTTGTTAAAATTCCATGCAGACATATTCTAGAACATATTAGAACATTTTGTATTGGTTTATAACAGGTGCTCCGGATATAAACAGACGACAAACGAACAAATAGAAATTCAAACTATTGTCGTTGTTTAACTCGCATGGGACTATAAGCTCGAATTAGACTTAAACGTTACGATCGTCGAGATTAATTACTATATGTACCCTGCACGACAGGCAGGGAATCTTAAATTACTAATATCAATTCCTTTGGCATTGTTCTGTTTTGTTAATAACCTCTAATAGATAATCATCTACTAATGGATAATCAAATCTTTTTAAATAAAATTCACATTTATAAAGCAAACAAAAAAATACCACAGGACAATTCTAATCGATAAATAATATTCTATTAGGATATTATAAGAAGCTAAGATATAGAGTTCTAATTGTGAATATCAAGTCGTTCGGGGAGATTACCAATATTTTCTTCCTTAACGGTATTAATTACGAAGTTTCGATACCGTTTATGACATTAAGATCTCTTAGTAAAGTTGTATCATTAAAATTTTACTGTTCCTAGGGAAATATATAGTTAATATATATAGTTAAATGTATATAGTTAAAACCGGAATATATATAGTTGAAACTTCCAGAGGAGCATCTCGTAGACAAATTGTTGAATATATATGACAAATATATAGTTAATATATATAGTTAAATATATATAGTTAAAACCGGAATATATATAGTTAAAATTTCTAGAAGAGCATCTCGCAGACAAATTGTTGATTATTAGTGTCGATTGAATGTAATCAATATTTGGTGCTTGAAGTTATATGTTTCGCGAACCTGCAATGATGCAGGGATTCTGTTGCAAATCATCAACTAAAGAGCCACAGGTAATGCGATGCTCAAAGTGAGAGGTTCAATAAATCCAGTGTTAGTGTAATTTGACACTTTATGTGCACCGGGTGTATGCAAACAGAGTTTGATGTTCTGAACACCACGGTTGTAAAATTTTATTGAGAGCCCAGTATTGCATCCGCACGGTGTGACCCTCTGTTGATGATTGCCCTCTCCACTAGCCGTTAAGTCTCATCTGTCTATCGCACCTTATCGGCTAGGGGGTTTCCGTAACATCTGAGATATCAGATTTACAGCTCGGAGAGGACAGATAATTCGGAATATCCCAAAAAAGGGCAAGATACTGGCCGAGTCCCAAAGGAACAATCACTTACATAGAATTTTTTTTTTTTTTCTTTTCTTTTCTTTTCTTTTCTTTTTTATTTTCTTGTTGAAATTATAATTAATTCTCACGTCGAGAATTTTCAGTTACTTTCCTTAGCATTACGCAGTGTTAGCTGATTATTAATAAGTTAAGACTTATTATAGATAAATATAATTTACTCAGATAGAATAAATTCATTTAATTAATTATGAGATTAATTCACTCACATAATTATGACATACAAGTAAATTTTATAACCACAAATTTTTAAATGTTATAGTTTGTTAACTATATATATAGTTAAAACATCCAGAGGACGAACTTGCAAAGAAATTGGTGATTGTTAGTGTCGACTGACTGTAACCGATATTTGGTGCGTGAAGTTGTATGTTTTGCGAACCTATATTGATGCAGGTCAACTTGTGTGACGCTCTGTTGATGACTGCCCTTACGAAACGAGAGCATTTTCAAATTTCTATTAACCAACAGTATTATCAATCAATTTTAACAATGATTGAAGGTTGCAAAATTAAATATAAAATGATTTATTAATAGCATACGTAGTGTTAAATTCGTAAACAAGCAGTTTATCTTTTAAGAATAATAAGTAATAAGTAAAATAAAGATAATAAATCTAATTACATTGCAAATTAATGAATAATTTAAGAAATGTATTTTTGTTATATTAATGTATCATAGACTCTGTAAAGTAATAATTTAATTTACTTATTACTTAGGAGATTGTATTTGAAATATAATTACAATTTGGAAGGTATAATCAACACAACTTTAAGCTAGTAGATATTTGGTAGCAGTTCTCAAGTCTTTGTGCAATATAGCACAATTGAGTTTAACCGAGTTTAATCTCTTTGACCAGACAGCTTCCAATTTCATTTATGGTATAATCTCCTGACAATTTCATGCCCTTCGGAAGAAACACAATTTCCTATTATTGTTTTATGATCATTAAATATGATCACTCTAGCGTTTTAATCTCCTTTCTATGTATGATGCGGGTATACCGTTTTCTGTTGTTTTTAGATTCGAGTGACGAAAACTTATGAAATGATATTTTAAGTTTAAACTGATCAATTAATTTAATTAATTGATTTATTGCAGCAACAATGGTAAATTGTTTACATAAAGGAAGAAATTTACAACGAAAGATGTATGAATGTAATATTTGAAATCTAAAATGATAAATTATTGTACGAAAATAATAAAACTCGCGGTGTCAGTATATGGTCTCATTAGAACGTGTTTAACGAGCGTAGCGTAGGCGTGAAAATGAAAACGTTGAGGCTCTCGTGGTGTAAAAAGGCTAAATTCCTCATAAAAATACAAGAAATGAGAGGGAACGTTCGCCCTTGAACACATAAAACCAAAAAAAAAAAAAAAAAAAAAAAAAAAAAAAGAATAGAAAGGGAAAAAATCACAAATTTTAGTGAAGCTATTTTATTGAAACTTGTTATATCATTTTAACAGCTATATATAAAACGTAGAATTATTTCCTTTCGCACAGAGCAATTTTATTTCAAATTTCTAGCTTCAGAATGATAATTACATATTAGTAATTATTAACAAGCATTAAAAATATAAAATATTCAGCCAGATGAAATATAGGTAAAGTATTTAGAAGAAAAAAGATTGAAATGTTTTATGTAAAACGATTAAATTAAGTGGTTGAGTTTGAAAATTTGACTCGGTTCAATAATTCAATGGAAAAAATATTCGTTCTATGAAAAAGAATTCATGTTTCTGTCGATATATCGGCGAGGTGCGCCTCTACTTTCGACTGCTCTGCAATTCAAATGCAATACTCGAATATACATGACGAAAGAAATGGAAATTAAGCAATTTAAGGGAATCAATTACTCTGGCGACGACGTAACTTCGAAATATTTCACGTGTTGGTGTTTGCGAAACGAAGTTCGTCGTTATCCGATTAACACGCTTGCAGATGCGTTCTTTTTGTTGCAAAGTAAATGAACAAATTGTACGAGGCAACTGTCATTAGCGTAATTTTAACGTGTACATTCACAGTATGATATTAACCATTATTTAGGATTGTTGAAGTAAATTAATGCGTAACTGCGTCATCCACGATTGACCATGATTATGATAGTGACTATTGCCATAAATGAAGCTTAATAGTTGTCGAAAAGAATCACAGATTCAAAAAAGAAAATCGTGTTCATAAATCATTCTCTCGTCTCGTATCGTGTTCGTCGGGCGGAAAACAAGATTGTGTTTTAAAGAAATCGCGTGCTCCGATTACTATCAAACTTACTGTGTCACTCGCATAGCAGAAAAAACAGATTAAGATAAGGTCACCAATGAGCAAAACGTTTAACGTGTGTTACACGTTTGTATACACATAAGTGTGGTATATTAAAATTAAATCCGCTGCAACCCTCATGACATTTAAAATCCTACGCGTATATTGAGTAAAGTTGTTATATTAAA